ATTAATTGTATATTTCCAGCCCTGACGTTAAAAACAGAATAAAGGCCAAGAGCGTATTAATGACATTTGTCCTTGAACCATAATTTCCTAATGACGCCGAACATGTTCAAACTCTCGCTACCAATCTTACAGGTGTGTAATGATCTCATTTCTCGTGCCCCTTTGATGATCGCTAATGAAGCATGCACCTCGATTCGTACATTAATTAACGCCTGATGAAGGTTGCCAACAGATGTTATAAGAACCCTATTTGCTTTCTTTCACGTTAAAATATAGGTTATAAGGTCTTTGCAATGGACTGTATGTGCATGTGTTGTAACGTTGATGTCTGGTTAAATACCCAAAATTATTATAAACGTAAAATATTTTTGAAGTTATACTTCTTTAGGCGCGTTATGAAAAATTTATGAGAGTGAAATTATACGATTGCGCGCGCACCGTGACACAAAATTTCTAGGATGAAGTTTTTAAACCAGCCGGGCGCCGAGCGTGCGCGAGCGAGATGGGAATAAGACAATCTACAAGTAAAAAGAAATAGAATATGCGTGAATTTAGCAGCCATGCCAAGAATTTTGAATGACTATAATGACATTTACCTTTTAAACAAATAAATTTTTATTACACAAATGCAAATTTTATATGTACGTCTGAAATATAATCAAAAGTGATTTAAATTGAATATTTAACTAATCAATACTAATTAATATATTTGTGAAACAACTGTGCTCATACTTCCTAAGTGCTTCAATACAATTAAGGTTAACTATCCGTATGTATTATTAATAATGCCAAAGAAGTATAACTTCTTACGCGCGTACATAAGTACACGCACCCTTTTTTTTTAAATAACAGGGGCTAACGGGAGAAGAAACCTGATGTTAAGTAATACCGCCGCCCAAGGACACTGACATGGTCAGAAGGCTTTTTTAATATTGGTACGCTTATTTCTCCAAGCATTATTCGAAATACATATTTTAATTTTATACATTTTGATGAGGGTGATCCATACTATTTTAAATCAGCCGGTCGTCACATTGAATTCACTTCTTTTTTGTTTCGGTCGGTTATGCTGGACGCATTTTGAATTGGATAATATCCTTGTCAATTTTATAGTTATATTTTCTTAGTCAAAAGTCCGTATTATAAACTATTTTAAGGCAAAGTATTAGTAGTATATTATAAGTCTAAGCGCTGTTATTGTTCCCATACTAATTTCTCCTTATCTTTACGACTGTGTGCCTTTCTGCATGTTAAGAATATATCGAAACGAGGTATGTACTCAGGCCGTTTTATTTTAAATTTAAATTGTGTATTAACGGCTACCGAACCGTTCCTTGTGGTAATTTTTTTTAACCTAAATCAATTATTTGTCGGAACTCGAACTGTTTCCAACTAAGCCTAACCAATTATATTTTATTTATATTTCAATTAACGCAAACGATGAATCAATTCGACTTAATCAGCAAATATAAGCAATTAATTACAAAGTATAATATGTGCGAAATGAAACGCATTGAACGTTTATTATCGTGAATTGGAATGAAACTTGAATGTCCAGTCAAATTGAACGTCCATTGAAAAGTAAAAAACCTAGATTATTGACTTCAATTAAAAGCAGAGATGATATGACATAACATAACTATATATAGTTAACATAACATATATATTTTATAAGTTAACATATATTGTTAGCAAGATTAATTCATTGTATTAGTGCTTGCTTTTTCGGTTCCCAGTTCCTATCGTATGGCGTGGCCTTGGGAGTAGTGCAGGTCGCTGAGATCTCCAAGGCAAGTTTGGTGTTGTTGTTTCTGTTTTTGGTCTAATACCTTATCTCAATACCCTATGTATTAGTCAGGCCGCACACCAGGCATACATTTGTTATTTACGTCGCCACAATCGTTGCGAAGTCGTTGCGCTACAATTGTATGCGCTACAAATGTATTGAAAATGCGCACATCGGTAGCACAGTTGTAGCGTGGCACCGCTTTGAGAAGGTCGACATCATCGTCTTATGACATAGATTTCTTGATGTGGCGATTAATGAGAAAAAAAAGACGTTATTGGGTTCATCCGTTTAATCAAGATTGCACAAAGTACGGGAATTTTTCGCCAATCTTAGTCCAAATTATTTCTGTAATCCGTCTGTTACTATAATCATTGAGCGTGTGATTGTATAAAACAGGGTTTTTTTCAACCTCTGCAATAAACTCAACGTAAAATTCAATGTTGTCCTTAATTTTTGCAAACCAACGCGACACAAAAAACGAACGTGTTCGATCTTGAATTTGTGTGGCGCGGAAACTGTCTCGCTACAAAGTGCGCCCGCCACAAATGTTTCCTCGGTGTGCGTGCTCACGTACAAATGTATGGGGGCGTTAAATGTGTCGCTACAATTATCGAGTTACAAATGTATGCCTGGTGTGCGGCCTGACTTAGACGTACCTAAAACCAGCAGGCCAACTATTGCAGGGATGGAGATGTCATGTCCTTGCGATTTTATCATCCAGAATGAACCGTACCGGAAGATAAAGGAGTCCTGGTGGTTGAGTGGCGTAGTGAGCAAGTTTTAGTTGCGAGTTGCACATAACACACCGCTTTGCTCTGGATTTCTCCTTTCACGGGTGGCCGTTCTCTTTACACGGACTAGCTACCCATTGCCCATCGGCTGCAGTATCCCATAAGCGGGCTACTGAGCGAGAGTCAGCGAGGGCCGTCGGCATGGCACAGGACTCGGTGTAAGTTCGCATCATATCATATGGAAAACAGCACAAGTAATACCAGTACATAAATCCGGAGACAAACCTGACGATTGCACCTATAGGCCAATTTGTATTCTAAGCACTCTTGGTATATTAAACCCATACTTATTCCAGAACAGCATTTGATGAGGTTTAAGTTTTTATCTAGTTATTGTAATTTTTTTATTTATTTTGTGGTTGCTTGTTTGCTTCACCTAGTTAGCTTGCTTATGCTCTAAGATAATATATCTGTGTAAAATTTGTGATGTCATTTTTTAAATGAACTTATAAATAAATAAATCCAATACATTTAATAATAGCTGTTTAGAATAAGAAAAACAACTTTCACAAAGAAAAGACAGGCTGGTGTGATTTATTGCGTTCATTAGCATCATATTAAAGCTAGGAAAACTTAGCTTATAAATATTAAAAGGCAACATATTGTATACAAATTAATGAATTTCATTTTAATTTTTTTAGTATATATGTCAACGTAAAGTGCATATTACTATTGGGGTCTCACACGCTTCAAGACGCAGGTATAAAATATAACGGCTATTTTGATGACACCTCCAGTTATGCTAATAAGATTACAAGTGACAATATGAGTGTCGTCAGAGTAAATGGAAGATATCCTGCAACCAATTGGCTGATTGTGCTCGAACACAGTTCAGATATTCGCCCCGCCTTGACACTACACGTTTGGTAAGTGTTGTTCAAATCTCTATATATATAAAATCCTCGTGTCACAAAGTTCGTTCCCATACTCCTCCGAAACGGATCGACCGATTCTTATGAAATTTTTAATACATATTCAGTAAGTATGAGATCGGCTACTATCTATATTTCTAACCCCTAAGTGATAAGGGGTGTCCACCCCAATATTTTTTTTGTTATTATTTTTTCTACGATCAACTGCTATTTTTTATTATAGTAGATAGTTATTTTTATTGGACTAAAAAAATATTTCCTAGAAATAATATACATGGCAAAACAACGTTTGTCGGGTCAGCTAGTAATAATATAGAAAGATCCATCGAATACTAGAACTATGTCCTACAATAATAACGTAAGGTTTGCACACGAGTTTTCTTTTATCTGTTAACTTCTAGAAGAAAAACTTGTTTCGTGTTCATTTGTTTTTTCTCATAATAAATATTAATCTGATGTACACGGTCGACTTTTTGGATCTAAGACATCCCGGTTTCCTCGCTACCTTTTCCTTGACTGTACGAGCGAGTATTAAATACGCATATAGATAGAAAGTCCATAAGTGCAATGCCGGGGATCGAACCTACGACCTCAGGGATGAGAGTCGCCAGGCCAACTGCTTTTAACAACTTGGAAATCTATTACAATGTAACTTAAAGGTCCCCCAGATTTTAGGTACGTTTAGGTACGATTTTAGGTAGTTTTAGTAAAATACAGACTAACTTTAGATTGAAATAAATCAATAAAGCGCAGAAATTTGTCTTCCCATAATAAGACGAGAATTAATTGCTTTCTTTGTTTAATATAGCAGTACTGTTGCCTAAATCTACTGGTATGAGACCTTCTCCGTGGAAATATCTCATATATTGTAAAATAGATTCATGAAAAGTGGTCAGAACGAGTACGTACATTTACAGTTTGTACATAGCCCTTGAAACAGAAAAGTTTTACATAATTGTAGTGAATGCAATGCTTTTAAAGAAGTAATTATACTATAATGGATCTATTAAAAACTGTGTGGAAACAAAATTGTGAAAACGACTCCATGTTTGAATGGAACACAGTTAAAATGCATGTTTCGTTATACCTAAAACACACAAGGGTATTGTCTTTGATTAACATAACGTTTATTCATTTAATAAAACACTATTTTGACCGGATTGAAGTTATGTATTATTATAAATTTACAACTATTTAACATAATTTTAAATTTATCCGACGTTTCGCGTGCTTTACAGCGTGCGTGGTCACGGTGACCACGCACGTAACTTCAATCCGGTCAAAATAGTGTTTTATTAAACACACAAGGGTGTTTACCAGGGAGGGCGGTTAAGGGCAGATGTTTGTTTGTTTGCTAAGACTTTAAATGTGTATTGAAATATTATTAGTTACTAATTACCTGTTTACTGTACAGTTAATACCACGTTGAAGTTTTTTCTTGCCTTAAAAAGAACTACTACGTCCAACTTTATTCCCTATTTAAGACTTTTGAGATTGAAAAATTATTGAAACTTCCTTTGTCGTTAAATGCTTAAATATTTTGCAGGTATGATGAAGCTGATTGGTCTGTTAGGATGTCTGTGCGTCTTCGCCCACGCCCTTCCACCGGATAAGGTCCGTTATATTTGATCCACTTATTGAAGTTATACATTTATAGTGACAAAATTTACGGGAATAAGGAGAGTTAGTTTGAGCAACCTTTATCAATATTTAAGTAACGAAACGAAATCTATAATTATTAAAGAATAATTTCGTAAACAAAATAAAAAAAACGGGTTAACTTGACAACTATTTTTGTATTTTAGCTATGTACAAGTAGTCCAGGCTTTTGAGTAAAATAGGCTTTTCTTGCTATTTTTAGTTGTGATTAAAGAACATTAGTGTTGGTCAAAGTACCTAAATAAAATTACAGAATTACGAATCACATCATCAGCTGACGCAGCAGTTTATGACTCGTTATCTTTCCTAATTTTACACAGAGGAAGGATTTGAGTGTTTGTTTATTTGTCTTGAAGTCTCTAGACCTAATTAACTAACTTTGAAAAATTATTTTATCCTTAGAATCCTAATTAATAATAGAATATTTCACGTCAAAAAATTATAATTACTAACTTAATTAGTTTTTGTTATATTTTTTAAACTTATGATTATGCCGTTACCTTTAAGTGTCATATTAGTAAATGGTGTTTTCAGAAAAAAATAATAATTGTAAATTATTTGTAAATAGTAGGAAATCTTAGTTTATTTAATTTACTTTGTAATTGCAATTGATGAGTTAAAAATCTATCTATAATAGTTTAAATGAAATAAATTAAATCTAACTTTGATTTGTTTGGCCATAAGTGCCGTAAATGTATATTGTAAAATGTACGGAAAGCTGAAGATTTTTGATCATAAATAAAACTAAAATGACACTAATGCGCAATAAAATGATTGATTCGATTTGCGTCTCGAATTGTACTAGCCATCTTTCTCGTATACTCGTATAGCAATATCTGTAGAATATATGAATATAAGATAAATATTTCACTTCCAGCCCTTTCTCTTTTATCATTTCGCAAACAACTCGCTCCTTATCAACCAATACGTTTACAGAATCTTCAAGGCCTTCACATCATAAAAACAAGGAGCATAGATCTTAACAACGCACATACTCTCACCCTGGAAACCAGATTACCCAAAGCCGTAAAACCAAACAGCTATAATATAGAACTGGAACCATATTTAGATGATGCAGTATTCAATGGTCGGGTTCAAATCAATGTTACCTGGCTTGAGGATTCTGATGAAATCAGTCTCCATTGCTCACATGATCTTGAGGTGACGGAGCATAAAGTTGTGCTTCGAAATGGGTAAGTTTCTTCTTGCAAAAATAAATGAAAACCTTCTCTTAATTGCGGTTTCACACGTATTCAACGAAGAGCGGTTCGAATCGTCAACGACCAATCCCTTTCCGAGCGGCTGAATCCCGCGTCGTTGCGTTGAGATGTGGGTTCACTCTTTCCACTACACCACCACATTTATCACGGAATTCAGAGGAGTTGTTCGGATGCACCTGCAGCTGAGTTTCACTTCGTCGAGCCTGAATATGAAATTCCACCCGTACCATCTTGACATCCGTTGCACAACTTTTTAGCAGTTTCTGCAGCGCACCTCTACTATGTGGCACCAGCTGACAACTGAAGTATTTCCGAACCAATTCGACTTAGGGTCCTTCAAAAAAGAGCGTACCAATTCTAAAAAGGTCCGCAACGCACTCGTGAGACATCTGGGATTTCGATTATGGCGGTGGTATCACTTAACATCAGGTGAGCCTCCTGCCCTTTTTGCTCCCTGTTCTATATAAATATCTGTTGTAGTATGTCAATATTTGCCTCAATCATTTTTTAACAATTGTCTTGCAATACAAAGAATCGTAATGACGTCTAATGAAAAGCTTTTTCAATATACTAAGCGTTGATATCGCTATACGTTACCAATTCATTATTAAACTGAAATTGGAATAGGATTGGCTATTGGAGTTATGTAAGTTTCCTGGAGAGCTTTTCCCCTGTCAGATGTGTTAACCAAATGATTTATTTAATATTAGCAAAACTACTAGATTTTTTAAATAATGGTCTGCCAACAGACTTTGTAATAAATCTTCTAGAAACAACCAAACGAAAGCTATATTAAAAACGAATTGTACACTCTTAGAGGCAGATACAGTATGCATTAATGGTACTTATCTACTAAAACTACTTATGTAAACTATTTATATATTTTTTAGGGAAAAACTTGAAGTAGTAGGTGTAAAAGAGATGAATATGGACGCGAAGAAGCCCATACTAACTCTACTATTGGAAAAAACAGTGCCTAAATCATCCAAAGGCGAGCTGATTTTTAGTTTTAAAGGAAGGATGCAAACAGCTTCAATGGACGGCTTTTTCAAGTCTTCTTACAAAACGGAACAGGATGAAGAACGGTAAATCTATATATATAAAAGAAGTCGTGTCAGTTACACTGTTTATAACTCAGAACGGCTGTACTGATTTGGCTGAAAATTGCTGGGGAGGTAGTTTAGGACAAGGTAACTTCCAAGGTAGTTTCCGTGAGACGTGACATACGAGTATAAAAAAACGGAAAAAAAAGAGTGGCGGAGAGTTTATTGCCAGTTCTTCTCTTCCGTTCTTGGCTCTTAATTTGAGAACTGGCAGTAAATTTAAAATTAGAAGCATTTAATATATATTTCCTTTTTGAGGTTCATAAGCGTACATTGTGTTTAACACAGGTACGTATATGAATAAACGATTTTGATTTTTTTAACAAACGAAAAATTTATCAGTCAAAACATCAGTCTAGCCGTTCATTTGTTAGAAATGGTCTAACAAAACGCAACTGACAGCCAAACGTAATGTTATTTTTAACTTATGGTACCGATATTATCATTAACAATGCCACGACTAAGACGATCGAATCTTTCCCGACAAATCCGTTATGCAATAAATGGGTGGACCAATTTTGTTAAATATTCGAGAATAGTTCAGATTATTTACACTTAGATGTTTTTGTTTGTTTTTTTAGGTTTAAAATTTTGTATTTAAGACGTGTGTACAGGACAAAATCTGCCGAAATATGATTTTAACTACATGTCTATTTTCTAATCAAGTTTTGTTAATGCATATATAACATATATAAACAATATAATACGTAAATACTAAAGACACATTTGACTAGAAACAAATATTAATTTTACACTACTGTCTAACTGTTCGTGCTCATCGTTTAATGGTCCTGTTAACAGATTGTGTTGGGTTTACAATAAAACTGTGGACATTATCAGCAACTCCATAGAGATCTTTCGCCGAGTCGTTTTAGCAATAAACTTTTTTTCTACAATAAAGTTACAAAAGAGAGTGCTTTACATGAATAACAATATAGCCTTTATGTTTTGTTGACTTAATTTTCTACTATATTAGTAAATAGCTTAAACTAAGGTAATGTTCATTAACAGTCTTAGTGTTCTATGTTAGATGTCTTTAGGCGTCTTGTTCCTGTTGTATCAAGAAGTTGGATTGCCTCAACATTCACATAGTTATGTAGCCTGTTTTAGTGAGCTAAGGCATGTGGACTGTATCGAAATTAATCACAATTATTATTGTTTGCTTCATATTCCTACCTAGTTGCTATTTATGTTAACATTGTATTTTACTACGATTCATGTTTGTAACAAAGAAATCGACGCAATATATTTAACTATATTTGATTCTAAAATATTAGACATAAGAAATATCTAACCGACACAGGCTGCTAACACAACATATTAACGTTGCAAATGTTTGCAATTTCTAGGATGGTAGCGGGCACCCAACTTCGTCCAAACAACGCAAGGCATCTATTCCCATGCTTCGACGAACCCGGCTACAAAACACCATTTGAGTTGAGTATTGCCAGACCAAAGGATATGGTGGCACTTAGCAATACTCCAGTGGCCAAAACAATGGAAATGTAAGTATTTGTAATACCTTCTATAGATTACATTACGTCTTCTAATGTAGACTTAACAAATGAAACAAAAAAAAACATTTATTTGGAATGTCAAGTTGAATCGAGTTTTGAAAATTTCATGCATTTCTACAATAGCTTGAGGATAAGTATAGTTAACTATCAGCTACGTAAGCACTCTCTCAATATTCTTTACGAGCCGGTTCTTTAAGAAAAATACTAGAAAATGAAACGTTCTATCTATTACAAATTAACTACATTTACTGTTTTTATGATTATTATTGATTAACACATGTGTTAACAGTGGCTTGACGAAATTTAAGAAGTTGGTTGGTAAGATTTGGATAAAAGTGTTCAAGATAGAGAGATAGGTGGAGCCAGTTGGATGAGGCCTAGGGTAGTAGGACTCCTTTCTCCGCAATTAGACTCGTAATTGGTCCGTTGTGCGTACTCGAAGAGGCCTATAAAAGGCTTTTAAAATTTGAAGGTTTCAAGGAATAAAAAGGCTTAATGATGATAAAAAACGTAAATTTTGTAAAATTGCAAATAAAAAGAAAATCTACAAAATTTCTTTCATCAGAGAAAACGAGCCAGGTGCAGTTAAAGATGTGTTTGAAGTCACACCTCCGATGTCGACATTCGCGTTTGGATTTGTGATTGCACATCTAACTCAGCTTGGGAATTCTACTCATTACAAAGATGACAATGGAAATAATATAGGTAAGCTGTACTGTATACAAAACATCATAAAACAAAAAAATCTAGTTAAAGCGACGATGTCGATCTGAACCACCGCCCCTTTTCCAATGAACCAGAGTGGAGATAATTGTACCGTTATTGGCGAACGTTAGTGATGGTGACACATAATAATACAGCAACGAGCTTATAACTAACGTCCGTCCGGCACGGCTGATAAACCTGGTCGTTATCACAAGATAGCTTAAAACTAAACCTAAAACTACCACCTGGTCAAAGGGCCCGCCCGCCCCTTCCGCTACCCCCCCCCCACCCCCGACCGTTTCCAAGAATAAATCTGGCTTAGCTTCGTTCGTCGGCTTTCCAAACTGATTGCTCGTTGTCCTAACACTAGAATTCAAAAGTAGCTGGGTAACTTAAGTCTCACAATGTAAACATTTCTTTTAAAAGGGGGGCTCCGTAAAAAGAACAATTAAATTGATTAAAAAAAAACGTGTGGCACTCGAGGAATGCCGCGGTAAAGCATTTTTATCAACTTATGCAATTATAATTATTTATTTATTTTTTATTTATGCAGTATTTTTTTTCTTTGATATTAATTCAAGTTTTTTCGTCAGAGATATGTGAATACGCAGTATGCGTTTTGTCCCACTCTGATGCACCTGCGCTACGTCACCGATCACGCCAAACCGATGTGAGACGCAGTATGCGTTCTGTCCCGCTCTAACGCGTATTGGCCGCACTTATATTACGTCATCGTGTGTTAGCTTTATTTTTGTTACGGTATTTCTTGATTCGGTCGCTTTGAAATCTATGCAATAGCTTAGTAATTGTTTTAAATATGCATGCACCACGGAATAATTGAAATCTAGTTACCCACAACAGTCCCTAGTGTGACTAGCGTTAGATCAATTTTGTCACAACCATATTTCTGTGAATTAAGTTTTATTGTTATATTTGGTAACTGTTTACTTTAGCTCAAGATCGATTCATGATCCTGGTAGATTGTTGCATACGGGCCTATGCCAAGTGAACATAGTTTTTTTATGGATTATTCTTGCCGTATATAATATGGCTGCTTTTGGAAGGATGATATATTATTGTTCGTTTTAATGAGTACATTTGCGAATCTTTATGATAATTTGCTTCTACCACTTAAACTAGTTTCGGGATCTGTATAGATTTAGATACGAATCGGCAATCGCGATGTGAATACAAAACAGTTGCCGAAGTCTATCAATAGATATTCAATCAAAACCAAATGGATTAAAGAAAAAGCTCTCAAGTAAATATACTACCGATCGTAAATGGCAAAGTACTTTGTCATTAAGTCGAACATTAAACATGAGCCGAAATGTGTCGCGAACAAAAAGTTATAGGCGACTTTATGTGATCTTATAAACCTCAGGAGATAAAATTCTGGATTAATCTTATATTTTATGATTCTTAGATTTTGTATGCATGGTTATTCGATTTTCAATTTTGTTTTACGCCTTACATCCGTGTTCTTAGGGTGCGTACAGACTATGTTACATATTATATAACTTGTGTTTTATAACACGTCCACATTATGTAACCTTATTACTTGTAACAATACTGTACACATTAGAATAACAATGCAATATAACAATGTTATATAACCATTTTAAATAACAAAAGAAAAACAAAAAAACGTAGATGCTGGGTTCGTTCTAGCATACATATCAATAACATGTTATTATAACATGTTTTATAACATTCAGTGTCCACATTATCTGAAACATGTTGTATAGCAATGTTGTATAACATGTTATGTTATATAGTCTGTACGCACCTTTAGATATTAAAAAAACGGGTGTCGAACTGTAAACCTCTCCCTTCGATTTTTGGAAGTTGGATTTGTTTTTAATTTGCTTTTTGTTAATGTTGAGAGAGCAGAGCAGTGTTGGCCTAGTGGCTTCAGCGTGCGACTCTCATACCTGAGGTCGTAGGCTCGATCCCCGGCTGTGCACCAATGGACTTTCTTTCTAATGAAAATCAATTTAACATTTGCTCGAAGGGTGAAGGAAAACATCGTGAGGAAACCGACATGTCTTAGACCCAAAAAGTCGACGGCGTGTGTCAGGCACTGGAGGCTGATCACCTACTTGCCTATTAGATTTAAAAATGATCATGAAACAGATTCAGGAATCTGAGGCCAAGACCTAAAGAGGTTGTAGCGCCACTGATTTTTATTTTGTAAATGTTACTTTTTGATTTTTCTACAGATATATTTTTATTTGGCCGTTATCACTTTCAATTCGAAACTTTACAAGCCGTTTTACGATTTCATTTGTAGTAAATGTTCTTTAATCTCATTTAACTAACGAATCCTAACTCAGGTCACGTAGTCTTTACGTACATTTTTAATTTGAGTTTCAGTCTCAATATTTCAATTTTTTTATACTCTATGGAGGCACCATAGAGTATAAAAAAATTTACATAAATTTTTATATGCATGGTGCGGGTGACAGTTGCTTAATTTTTCTTTGTTTATTTAATTATAAGTAATCTTACAGCTAACATACATATTATAAAACAAAACGCTTAGACAATACAGAAAGCCAAAACAGATTATATAGATAAACAATATATACGAAACAGAAAACAAATAAGTACACACAAAAATATACATATAAAGAAAACTGAAATTTAAAACAACAAATAATACTTAATATATCAAACTACTGCTTAAACAAAATCAGAGTCTTCTCGCCTCTTCAAATACCTACTCACGTCTTCTTTGGTGAGGTGGAAAATATCAATATCCTCATAATTGGTGTCATACTTAGATAAAACCCGAAACATTGGCGAATCATGCAGGTAAATCGAGTTCGTACGTGGCACATGGAACAATTTTGTGTGTATTGACGCTTAAGGAGGAGGAATTTTAAGAGAAATTAACGACAGAAATTTCAATTTGATTGTATTTATAGACTAGACCATTCTAGCTGGGTTTAATTTAAGTTACTACAGTTATTAATGATTTAATATATTACGAATGTGGTACAGCTGAAATACTAAGTCATAATTTGTAAATCGCGCCAAGTTTCAAGAGTGAAACGAAACGTCACTGAAACTGTCACCCGCACCATGCCACAGCGCGCATAGTATAAACTAAATCATTAAAGTTACTATAGTATTTTAATATATTTTAGAGTTACGCGTCTGGGGTAGACCAGAATACCTGACGGCTTTGGAAGGAACGAATGAGAAGTTGGCTCGTGTTTTCAAAGAAGTTGCGAGTTTTTGGCAAGTCCCTTTGCCTCTGAAGAAATTGGATGTGGTTGCATTACCATACTATCAGGGTGCGAAGCCGGCTGATAACTGGGGACTTATTGTATTCAAGTATGTATGGAGAGAAACAACCTTATCGATTATAAGAAATCTCTTCCAGACAACTCTAGTAACAAAAAGAAAACTGTTTTGTGGAATCGATTGACGCTTTCGATTCTAGATTAATAGTGGTGGTAAAAAATACAGTTTTTTTTTTTACGATTTTTTAGTAATATTATTTTGTTCGTATTAAGCCTACGTATATATAAGCACTATCTTATATATACGCTATATATTTTATTAATAAATAATTAAGACTAGTTTCTAACACAACTATTTTTTAAAACAGGGGGTAAATGGGCAGGACCGCCGCCCATGGACACTCTCAATGCCAGAGGGCTCGCGAGTTCGTTACCGGCCTTTAAATAAAGTTATATTATAAATCATACAATTTATTATTAGGGAAAGCGACTTATCAAACAGCCGATACCAGATAATAGAACAAGAAGTGACATATCTATGGCTAGGGGCCCTTGCCAGCCCTGAATGGTGGAGCGGTGCATACGTCAACAAGGGTTTGGTTGGGTACATTGCAGTTGATATTGCCCAAAAGGTAAGGTTTTATCTGCGCTAACAAAGTGTTCCGCATATCCAACATCTCGGTATTAGCTACTTAGGGGCCTTCCCGCAGGTCAGTCAGTGGTAAGACTGGTTGAGGATCCTCCTTTTCCGTTTAGAGGAATAGTATAACTTCATTCCTACACAGATGTGTTTTTGTCAGTCTTGGTATTTTACACTTATAAATTATGATAACTTTTTGAAGTTATACTTCTTTAGGCGCGTTATGAAAAATTTATGAGAGTGAAATTTTACGATGCGCGCGCACCTGTGACACAAAATTGGGAGTGTGATTATAGCGTGCGCGAGCGAGATAGGAATAAGACAATCTACAAGTAAAAAGAAATAGAATATGCGTGAAGTTCGTATGCCAACAATTTTGAATGACCATAATGACATTTGTCATTTACCTTTTAAACAAATAAAGGAGTTTTAATTATTTTTTCAAAGATGATGCGATGCTTTTTAATTTAATCAGATGTGATTTAAACTGAATACTTAAACCAATACTAATTAATATTAGTGAAAAAACTTTGGTCATGAGACGTTCTAAATATATAATTGAGGTATAATATCTTTTATTATTATAATAGTAATGTTATGATTAAAAAATTAACAGAGTATAATCAAAATAAATAATTTTTATTGAATTTATCTGCAAATGTAGAAAAGAGACAAAATCAATTGATGAATCCAGTGATAACTGCACTCTGAATCAAAAAAAGTCTTTGATCTTATTTAATTGAAATTAATTATTTGGATGCAATCAAAAACTATTTTTAATAATGCCAAAGAAGTATAACTTCTTACGCGCGTACATAAGTACACGGACCCTTTTTTTATTAGTGCAAGAATTTAACAACGTTCTCAATCCCGAGTCGGTCAATTTCTATTAAAGACGTATCAAGGAAATATTTTAGTACACATACCGCGATGGTATGGTATGTGAAAGATTACAGAAATATAATATTATCACTTTTTCATACCATAGAAAAAGTTATTGTTTCGCCGCGAATGAATCTCCGGATCGGATGTGCTATGTGCACAAACCACTACAAGGCTTTGCCTTTTAATTTAAACAAATAATAAATGTTAACTCTATTACAGTAAGAGAAACCCTATAACTTGTATAGTATAATGTTATTTTTGATGTATTCTCAGTGGCGTAACTATATCATCTGGGGCCCGCGGCAAATTGTTTTAATGGGGCCCTATCAGTAAAAATCGACACGTTTTACTCAGTTTAATTTTAATAAACTTCGAGATTTTCAGCGTACTCAATTAAATTATATTTCCCACTAATGGCCATAGGCCGCCTCTCTTAGGCGAGAGGGAATGGTCTGTAGTCCCCACGCTAACCCAATACATATTGGAGACTTCACATTCATCCATAGAACATAATATCTCCTGGTCAGGGGCCCTCTTGGGTTGGGGCCCGTGGCATTTTGCCAGCCCTGCCACCCTATTGTTACGCCACTGTGTATTCTTATCTTCTACGAGTATTCTGAACTGAGACTCCAGGTTATATTAGACGTCAAACATCTGTTAATTAATGTCATCACTTGCTCTGTATAATTTATTATTGCTCAGTGTAAATTAACAATTAAAAAACTTGTATTGAAACCATTTATAATTAAGAACTATCGTCCATGTAACAAGCTACAAAGATGCAAGGAACGAAGATCGTATATAATAAAAAAAAAATAGCCACTTCTTCCTTGCGTCTGTATCCTTCTGTGTAACATCATTGTTTTGTTTAGACTACATATTTTAAAAGAATCCTTCATCTCTTTCTGTCAAACTCTGTTTGCACTGTGATGAAAAGAGACAAATTAGTACTTTCGTTAAAACGGTACAATTGAATTTCTTATCAATAAAGGCGTACATTTCGGAATTTTCCTCAGATTAACGACTCGGATATCGACAGACAGTGGCCAATAACATTTTTATACTCGATATATTATGAGTTCAGCAAGAGATATCCTCACTCCAGAATCACAGGCTTGAAGCAGGAGACGACTTGTACCAAGATTGAGCTTCTATTCCGAGTTTTCAACTATACACTAGGCGCTGATACCTTTAAAAAGGGTATGCGAATGTTCATAAGGGAAAAGTGAGTTTATTTTTCATCTATTAAACAAAAACGAGAGACTATAACCAATAGAATTGGGTCTTTAGCTTAAAAGCTTTAACTTCCTGTCAGGACCACAGGAAGTTAAAAAAATAATTCGATTAAAAAGTAAACTTAATTAACTCCTTTCTTGCTTTGTGCCCATTGAACGATCATTTTACGTGCTTATGATTTTATATATTAGATATTTTAAATCTAATAATAAATTGTAATAATGATATTATTAACATAGCAGGAAATATTTAAAGGCGCGGAAAATATGTTTTCACTGTATTTAACTCAAAAACAAAAGAGTATCTAGCAATTTGGGGTTACTTTTAATTCATATAATATTATTATTCTTTTTAATAAAAATCTTTTTCAAACCGGCCGGAAATCGGGTTGATTTTATTTACTACACACGCCTTTTTCAGTAAAATAATTTATTGTTATAAACAAAAAAAAATTGTGAAAAGAAACCAGTGAGTTCTAATCATGTTATGTTATTATGTCAGTTAGTTTAGTTTAGTAATTTGTAGAACAACAATTACACATAGATTATAGATAGTAACTGTGTACTGTCAATTGATGTAACTGAAAGCTGATGTCTTAATAACATTTAAGAAGTCAACATCATTTAACGTGTGATATCATTACTACATCATATTAACCTCTGGGCCGACTTTCCCTAAGGAACCTCCTCATCTCCACATTATCGTAACTAGCCGGCTGGAGTGAGTCATTCCTAAAAATAATCATGAATTTGCAGAGCCTTCAAAACCTTCACTGGTGATGATATATGGAATGCATTGAATGCAGCGGCCCATGAAGATGGTAAAATACCAAAGGGCGTCGACATAAAGACGATTGCTATGAGCTGGATTGAGCAGGATAGACTACCTTTGGTCACAGTCAATAGGAACTATGATAAGAATACTGCCCATGTTTCTCAGGTATCTCATAAGTCACGATTTACTGCTAACAACAACTGCTGCTGCAGTTCCTACGATCACTTCTAAAAGAAACTATGTTCGTCTTCTCAAAATTGAAAAAGAATGCGCCTGCAAAGATTCTAGGGGACAAAAACCTTACATACGGATTAAACGTAATTCTGCTAAGCTTCTTATTTAATTGTACATATAGATTTTGAGATAAGCAGTGTTGGCCTAGTGACTTCAGCGGGCGACTCTCATCCCTGAGGTCGTTGGTTCGATCCCCGGCTGTGCTGCAATGGACTTTTTTGTGCGCATTTAACATTCGCTCAAACAGTGAAGAAAAACCTCGTGAGGACACAGGCCCCAAAAAGTCGACGGCGTGTGTCTGGCACAGGAGGCTGATCACCTTCTTGCCTATTAGATTGACTTATGATCATTTAACAGATTCAGAAATCTGAGGCCCAGATCTAAAAAGGTTGTAGCACTACTGATTTTTTTAATAGATTTTCTGATACAGTATTATACGTATTGTCTCCATATCTTAAATTACCTGTTGAAATCACAGTTTTATTTTCATTCAGAAAGTATACCTTCGCGAGCGTCCACATGATGTTCCCAACGCAGATAAAATGAGTTGGTGGCTCCCCCTAGTGGTCATCCGGGGTGAAAAACTGGACTTCGGTAAAACTACTCCTGTCGTATGGATGAAGGAAAAAGAGACAACGTTAGAGAAAATGCCGAGCAAGAATCACTTTATAATTGTCAATCCAGAAGAAATCGGTAAGTTGAGTATTCTTCTTCTTTCTTCTTTAGTTCACGGCACGTTCTTGGTGTTGCATATCTTTCTCCATTCCCCCTTCCAAGTTGAGTATTAACTGGTTGTTCTTAATACAATTTTGCGTCTCCATTTTTGGGAAAAAAATTGGGAATTTGGTGGAATGGTCGAGGTGATACGGGTTGAATTTTGTCACCTGCCTCGACGGTGATGAAACTTAGCTGTAGCTTGTCTGACTTAAAAAAGATAATATTTTTATACGTTTCTTAATATAACATATAACTGAATTATATCTCTTTTGTAGCTCCATTCCCCGTGAACTACGATCAAGAAAACTGGAATCTTCTCCTGAAGTACCTTCAAAGCGAGAAACGTCTCTCCATTCCAGCCTTAACAAGAGCGAAACTCCTTCATGACGCCTGGAATTTGGCCTTCGCTGGAGAACTCTCCTTCGCGACTGCACTCAACATGACTCTCTTCTTGAACAATGAGAAAGACCATTTAGTATGGGAGCCAGTGTTCACGATGATCGATCACATCGGCAGACATATTTGTTCATGCATTAAGGAGAAATTTAGGGTAAGTTATGCTAATAGATATTTGTGTTTTATTAGGATCATGTTTCTCTTATTGATTGGTTATATATATTGGTATTTGGATTTCAGAGTTTTGTTTGATCATAATTAGTTGTTGCTTCTAGTGTAATATTTACCTTATTTATTTAAGAGGAAGGGCAAGAAAAATTAATACGGATATATATCGAAATTGATATAGTCATTAGTGGGTGTAGTAGACGTCGTCGCCGCGAGCACAAAGGACATGAATAATTATCGTACAATATTTAATTTAGATGGATTCCTTTTAACACTACAAATACACTTTAGGTTAGATTATAACGAGTAGCGGTTTAAAGCAGCAATCTCACTTTTAATTAGTTCTGTCCCCCGTTTAGGGATGTGAGATTAATGGAAATAATCGATTAAATAAATATCGATTTTTCTTTAATCAATATATTTATATATTATATTGATTAATATATTTTATGAATTTTAATCAATTTGTCAAAAATCTTTTTTTTTCTGATTTTTATTTTGATTTTTTTTGATTAGAAATTAATAATCGATTTCTGTGAAAAATCTAAAAATCTACATGCTTTTCATATTCCAATAATAAACCTAAAAGATTCGTATTAACAATTTATTAGATTAGAATCTAATAAAACTATATGAATAAAATAACGATAAAAATTATGCGACAGAATTGCCATCTAAAGTTCTAATATTACATGTAACTACTAAACGAATACATCAACCAACAGCGTGTTGCTTCTTGCTACATTCGCCCTTTCTCACTCTCTCTCAATCGCTCTCTCCCTTTTCTTCGACAACAACGCTGCACATCCCTCCCTGCCCATGCCCTTGACCGTCGTTTTTTGATGAAACAGGTTATTCAGAACTAGCCCCTTCCGAATTATCATCACTTTAGTATTCCAGTTTAAACATTTCTTGCTATAATTTATTATTTTTGATAAGGGTAAAGGGTCATCATCTAAATGATTTTTTTAAATCTAGCATCCAAAATCGTTTCAACCAAAAAAAGGTGTACTTTTTGAATGTTTTCGAATCTTTTATTAAATAGCACACTGTTTATGAAAATCGTTTTAAATGCGTAATTTATATAATTGATTTTTAAAAAATCTATTAATATTACTATGGAAATCGATTATAAGAATATAATAATTGATTTAAATAAAAATTGATTATTTTTTAACTTCCCTACCCCCGTTCCCTGAACGCACTGCCAAAAGTCAAGATAGCGTCTCAACCCCAACAACTCGCTTTGTTCTGATTGGTCGTAACAATCAATATTCGTGCTCTTATTTGTTGCGTCATGATTACAAACTATGAGACAATTAGAAAATAGCAAAATAAATAAATGTATGATTCGTAAAAGTAATATAAGAGATCGTCGATCGTCGGTGTTTTTGGCGTCGTAATCCAATTATTTAGACGATTTAGGCATGAAATTGTTTCATATCAAGAAATTAGCTATATAATTTGCTTTAAATTACAAAGCCTTTAAAAGCGGGGTTGATAAATTATAGGGTTTTTCAGACTTACGTTCGTACATTCCTAAGCCCCGTTTGCGAAGAATTCCATCACAAAAACGAGACAGGAAGAAAAAACCTTTGTTCGTTGGCGAAGAGCTTCCTTTGCCAGGCTGGGTATAAGCCTTGTATAGAAGAGGCACGAGAAGCATATACAAAGTGGATGGAGATGCCCAATCCGGATGAAGGGAATCCGTAAGTATCTTAGAATAAGGTGCAACAGGCGGGAGTTTCTTCAGAGAGTCTCAGAGCGTTGCCGGCTTTTAAGGATTTGGTGCGTATACACGTGGCATCACTACATAGTATAAAACAAAGTCGCTTTCCCTCTACCTATATCCCTAGGTATGCTTAAATCTTTAAAACTACGCAACGGATTCTGATGCGGTTTTTTTTTAATAGATAGAATGATTAAAGATAAAGAAGGTTTATATGCATAATAACATCTATTAAATAGTGGAGAAATACTGTTATTTTTAAGGTTTCTAATGTGATGTCGTAAATAATTGCATTTTTTCCGCTTACATTGCAAACGCAGGCTAAGCCCTACGTAATATATCAAAATATCCAAATATAACGCGTGTGGGCCACGGGCCCATGAATAAATCAAAACTACTGGATCGATTTTAATCATTTTTTCAGTGAGTGACATAGGCTATATATTTTATACCCGTGCGAAGCAGGGGCGGGCCGCTATGTTTTTATATACAACGGACACAGTTTTTCTGTAGTGTATTTAGTATCAGCACTGCACCCGTGCGAAGCCGGGGCGGGTCGCTAGTAAAATATAATTGATAAAGACATCCTTCACATCACGCAAATATATAAATATGCATTGCTGAAATTTTAAATGCAGCAGCTTAAGTCTGAGAGTTGCAGGCTTCACTCAAATAAAATTAAATATTTATTTTACCATAGTACTCAGGTAAACATAAAATATGTAGTATCTAAAATAGATCTTAACAACAACCTTTTAAATATAAAAGATTTCCACTCGTGGAACCACGATTATGATCAAAATGTTCATGTTAGCGAACATCTGTAGGATCGGACAATACACACGGGTCTCTATTGTACGCCAATAATGCGTGATGGAATTTTATTTTATTCGCGATTATTATAAATCTATTTTAAGCCTTTATACGGTAAAGTTATATTTGATTTCTGGCAAGACAAAATAAATATAAAATATTGGATCGTTTAGATTTTCACTGGACTACATCAAATAAAATTCGTCATGCCACTTATAACTTGAAGAGTCTCATTTATAAAACAAAACAATTATACTTTTAGAACTAAAATGATTTTTGTCTCTTTCTGTTGAATTGTGTCTACTCTGTGATGACAAAAATATACGAGTGCTTTAGTTATAACGGTACAATTAGAATGATTTATGTTTGATGAATATAGGGGTCGGGTGTAGCAAAGGTACCTTACCTGTGTTATTTGTTGTTAAAATAATACTTTCACTGTTCGCTCGCCTACAAGTCTTCCTAGCACAACAGTTTTTTATTATTTTTTTACGGAAGAAGTACCTTAAATCAAGCATGTAGTTTTAGTTAGTATAAGAATATATTTTTCTTACTTGAGATTTGTTTAATAAAATCTATGTGTTACTGTAAAAGCTCGAACTACGGCTAATCTTAAGATTTAAATGTAAGTCTTAGGATTTACCGACATGAGTTGGTAAATGTAAGAATTTCTGAAAATACGACGATTTTTTCGAGCTTTTACCATTCGAATTCAGTATATGCTAGGTTTTACCACTGTCAGCTGGTAGATGTTGGTTTTAGGAATAAAACAATGTGTAATTCTTAATTATTTAGTTTAATGAACTATTAGACATAGTATTATAAAGGTATCATATGATAGTAATAAGTACAAACTAATACCAACTTACTTAAATTATTTTGAAAAACACATAACGTTTATCTCTGAATATCTCACCTACATAAGGTACCTAAAAAAAATATTTCACTTGTTACAACACGGATTGCTATAGTGGCACTTAAAATTACAAGGTAATCCTGATGATCTGCAGGTGCATTTTTTTGTTTTTCAACATTTACCGTGCCATTAATGTAAATCCTAAGATTTACCAACGGAATGGTGGTAAGAGTTCGAATCGCAAACCTTTTTCGACATTTACCATTAGGAATTGGTAGATCTTAGGTTTTACTGGAATATCTTAGGATTTACTGTAGTTCGAGCTTTTACAGTAACATATGCATCAAAAATAATTGCTGTTCGTTTGTCCCGTTAAAACTCGAGAATGGTTGAACCGATTTGGCTAATTATGATCTTGAAATATTTGTGGAAGTTCCGGGAAGGTTTAAATGGTTAAACATAAATAATAAGTAAAGAAAAATACTAAAAACGACAATTGAATTTTCCGATAAAAACTATTCCCCGCTGGGAAATATAAGATGTCTTTTTAGAAATAAAAAATTGTGACTTGGTTGTCATATATTTACAGATGCCTTCAGACATTTGTGTTTTATAGCTGTAGTATTAGGTCTGGTGTCTTTGATCTGTTTTAAAAATGTTGTAAGTTTTGACACTAGTGTATGTAGGTGATACGAAGTTCCCTGGGTCATGTTGTTTATATATACATATATAAACTATATATACTTATTATTTATTCCACGTAAAAATAATGGACTAAATATAAATTCCAATTCCAGAATGCCCAACCCATATATATGTCCAGTCTTTAAATGGGGAACGAACAAGGAATGGGAATTTGGTCTTCAAAGGGTGATTCACTTCCCATCCTCAAGGAAACAGAGCGAACGAACATATCTTCTAAAAACCTTGGCAGGTTGTCCCATAGATGAGTACAAAATTCATCGACTTTTAAATGTAACAATCTTGGAGGGGAATGGCAATTTCACTGAGAGGGACCTGTTCCTCATCTTCAGTATGCTGACTGGTGATGAAGCTGGGTATACAGCGCTGTACCATTTCCTGGACAACAACTGGGACTTCTTGAAGGAGAAGTAAGCAAACATATATTACACAGAATGCGTATACAAAATGATCGGAGATTCTAATTAACTTTTTTGTAATAAAGCTTAAACAATAATAATAAACAAAATTTACTTTATCGATTAGTTAACACAGTTGCATGAGCATTCGGGCTTCAGCTGTTTTTTCTGTATATAGTAATTTTAGGAATGTTTAATTTCTTAAGATGTTTTTTAAGTTTAAAATTTTGTATTAAAGACAGAACAACGTCCTTAATAATAAACATGCCTTCATTATTAAATTCATACATTTGAATAAATCTGTAATGAATGTGACAAATGTACACAAACAAAGCATTATAATTTATACTCAGTAAACTGTTGGTAATGCTAATGCATTGCCAACATCCATCATTGTTGTTTAATCATATACATAGATAATATAGAGCGCTGTTATTGCTCATAGACAAATATTCTTCTCAAGCAAACGTTATAAGTTTTGTAGCTTCCTTCAAGAAGAGAGAGTACTGATTTTTAGGCCGTCAACGTACTCGCGAGCCTTTTGGCAGTTCGTGTGACGGCGGCAGTACCACTCCCTTTCATATATAATAATTTATTTTTATAAAGTTTCGTGAATATTATATAAGGAAAATGTTTGATTCCCTGGGCTCATTTTGCATTCGATACATTTGACACCTCAATAATTCACTTCTCGACGGGAGATTTTGATTTTACGTAAATTAAACATAGGGGAATATTATTTGCAATCAGTCAGTAAATTAAGAAAATCGCTGTACTGTTCGACTTATCCTTTTTATCTTTCAAGTCGCGTGGTCAGAGGCTAATGGGAAAACTTAATATTGCCTTCGCTTCAGCAACATAAAAGAAAATACATAATTCATACACTTTCGTGTTTTGGCGCTCTATATAGTCAAGTATATCCGTCAAAGTTTACTTATAACTTATTTCATGATATACAATGCGTAACTATAATTATTACACTAACGCTAACTTTCGTACTATCTGATCTGAAATTATCGTGATTAATGTGCACTTCTTTTTCATGTGTCCTTTTTTTATTATTGACCTGTTCACTGTTTACATGTTTTAATTGCTTTGTTTTGATCCATAATTATGTTTATTAGTAACCATAACAATCAAATATACAATATTTAAAATTTTCGTAACCTACATAATAAAAAGAAAATGAAAATAAATTTAAAAAGTCTGGTTCCTGTGGCAGTGTATATTTAACGGCAGCATTTCCTCGCTGTATTGCTTATTCGTGGAGCGAGGAAAGCACTAGCTCTGGGGTCACCGGTACTCACTACCAGGCGCCAACTTAAAACTTTAATTAGCGCCTGTGCACTTGAACACGGCCCAAGAGCCTTTACTCCAAAGGGAACAAAATCCATCCTTTCATACGTCATTCATCCTTTTATTCTATTAGTTTTATCAATTTTTTTCATTTCTCACAGTGGTTGCCTGGAAGAGATAGCTCGAATGCGATATGGCCAGTTGCCGTCCTTTTTTTAATTATTTCAATTGTTTTATATTTCTGTACATGCAACGAAGAGTTAATAAATAAAATAAAAAATACCATTTGATCATTGGTTTTTGAAACTTAATTCTATTATAATGGACTTTGATATTTTTGATTAAATGTTATACGATCTTTTTTACGCGTTCTAGGAGCTTGATTTGATTCGCGACATCTTATCCTGACGGCGAAAATTAAGATGTTATTGCGTTATAATGATTTGCTTTGCCCTTTTTCAGATTTGCTCCGAAAACCAATTTATGGGACAGCCTTATTTTATCAGCAACAGGTGAATTTAAGACCCAAACTGGTTTGGATTTAGTTTCAAAGCTCTACGTTTCACATCAAGGAGAATTCGCTTCAGCTGAGCATATTATAGAAAAATCAATGAGGAATATCCGAGAGGAAGTCAAATGGTCCACAGAGAATATTCCCGTCATAGAAAAATGGCTGGATCATTACATAGCGACTCATGATGTCAGGGTCGAACATTTTATTAAAAATTAAGTACCTACTTGTACAAATTTTTGAATTGATTGTAACAATGTGTTAAATTACAGTTGTATTTATTTTCGCCCATTAAATACACAGTTTTTCCTTTCAACTGTTTCTTTATTACAGATTTAACGTATTGTAAAATATATTATCTGCCTTCGAGTTTGTTCGGTAAAAGAAAAACTTAAAAACTAAGTTCGCAAAATGCCTGCCATAAGCGGGCCATAGACGGACCGCATGTTGCAGTCATGAACGACAGCAACATGCGGTCCGTCTATGGCCCGCTTTATACCCCCTGGGTAAAGTATACAACAATATAACATTTTATCATTTCAATAGAAACACACAAGTTATTAAGTTATTCATATAAAATATTTTGAATTTATCAACTTTTGTCCGATTCTTTTTTTGCTTGAATAATCAATTTTATTGGAAAATAATATATGAAAGTTTAGGGTAATGCGTAGCGAAGCGACAATACCGGAAAGTAATAATGGGTGCGCGTTTTCGTAAATAAGGAAAAAACTTTTCTAAGAATTTTTCAATGAAGAATTTTCTTCAAAAATATATTTGGCATAACGACAAGTAAAATGAATTCTTAAAGTAATTGACGATATCATGATACAACGTTTAAGAAATAAAAGTTATATGAAAAGGTTTTATTAGAAATCACGCACTTCTTATTACAGATAGATATTTTTGTGTTCTTCGTTCTAAGAAATATAAAGATAATTGTTATCATTTCGTAGCTAAAAGGTCAGGTATGATAACCTTCAATATAATCTGAAGCTATTTTATGATTTATCTATTCAAAACAATTCTATTCATTGAAATTTCTTCGGTTTCCTAAATCCATAGTTAAGGTCTAACTAGACTCCTCGATCCAATCGTATGGTTGAAAAAATGTCACTGCTCTGTGCCTCCTTATGTCAGAACTAATTAATTGGCCAAACAATTACATCGTTAAGTTGTATCGCTTATTATTAAAAAATAACAACCTTTTAGGTCATGGCCTCCTTTATATCTATTTTGTGATTATTTATCTTTCTTAATAGACAGGTAGGTGCTTAACGCATGCCAGTATTTTAGGTCTAACGCATGTCAGTTTCATCACGATTTTTTCCTTCAGCCGGAGTTCGAACTTACGACCTCAGGTTTGAGAATCCCACCATAAAACTACTAGGCCAACCCTTCTCTACGGCCTATTATTTAGTTATTCTTTAATTTGAGATAACTTTTAGTATAGTCTAATAAATAAGTATTTATATATTAGAGATCGTAGCTTCTTTGTCGCTACGAGCCTATCTACTAGACGTAGCTGTTTCGCTACATTAGTGCTACGAAAGTTTATGTAAAGCATTATCTACGCTTTTACCTTTGTAAAGCTTTCTTAGAATTCAAAGTAACATTTTGAACGTCGTAGCAACGAAAAGCTGTAGATAAACGGAGTAACCCGATAAAACTCCGGTAAACATTTTTCCAATACTGCAATGCCGGAAGCTCATCAGGTAAGGTCTCGGCGCTCGATTTTATTTAGTCACCGTTGGGAGAAAATGAAAATCTTATTTTACTAGAAATACTTGGACATTGGAACTGGAGAGTTGTGATTCGATTTAGGAGTTTATTTAAATTGGATACGTAGTCTGATTACGAAAGGAAATTAACGAGAATGAATACAATCAAAACAGTTACAAAATCCCATTTAAAGTATTCTAAAATTGAAATAGTTACATAATACGCATTTTGTCACATGAATTCATTTTCAAGTAACATGAGAATGATAAGAACAATTAAAACAAAATAAATGGCATAAAAATTTTAGAAAGGCTAAGGTTGCAAGGCGCAAAAAAGGTTGGAAAACAATGCTCTGAGGTATATGGGGTTTGACCTCAGGTTAAATCTGTTTCTTTGATCATTTTATTTTATAGAGAAGTTGGTAGATAATTTTATTTTATAGTAACCTCTGTGCCTTCTCGATTGTGGAGTCTAAAAGGTGCTAGTTCATCACAACCTTTACTGAAACAATGCTACTTACTTTTATTGTTAATCCTGTGTTTAAAAAACATGATATCACGCTTTAATTAAATCCGAAATAACTCCGATTAGCAGTAAATTAGTGAGACAAACTAGAACATTAAAGCGTTCTGAGTTAATATTTTCTCAGCACTGGAGTTCTATAGTTTGATACAAGTCGACAATCTCTGCGAAGTTATCTTAGTTGACATTAATATAGTGACACACTGATCTGTACTGTGACATACTTAAGCCACATGAATAAATTTCATTTCTTGTATTTTATTTTACAGGAATTTTGATTTATGATTAAAATATAGATATGCTTATGAGTATCGATTGTCATTTAGAAAGACTCAACATAAAGTAATTTAAATGATATTTTATCATTCACTTACTTAAATATGTTTACGCATCGGAATCGAGAAACTTCCAGCGCTCCCCATCCTGTGCCTCTTACCGCCAATTTCTGGTGTTGATGTGCAGCTGGCGCTCCACCACTCTGCCGATCCAGCGAAACCTGGGCCGGTCGACTGGGGTCCCACCACTAGGCTGGCGTAGGTATGCCCCCATCATTTTACGTTCTTGGCCTATACCTCACTGTGACCTAGTCAACAAAGCCGATGGGCCTTGCCCTTCATGACTTGTTATTATGTCATTACTTAATAATTAATAAATTAAATAGTCTAGTCATTTAAATATATTTGCTAAGTTATAATGAATAATGTATCGATCGTTATAGAGCATTTATAAGTAACGGCTATTAATTGTTTTTCAATAGGAAAAACATGACAGAATAAAATGCTATTAATAATAATAAGAGACGACCAGTCATCTTTATCCTATTCGTACAGACCAGAGTTAGCAAGCTCCCACTCCCGCTCCCACTCCGTATCCCATCCCACTCCCGCTCCCACTCCCGCTCCCACTCTCGCTCCCACTCCCTCTCCCACTCCCGCTCCCACTCCCGCTCCCACTCTCGCAACTCGCCGGAGAGCGAACTATATGTGAAGCGTATGGGGCGATACTGTGATTTAAAGAAGTACTTAGGGTAATGTATAGCAATGTTTTTTGTTAATTGTATAAAAAGACTTTTGATTGTATAATATTTTAGGCTAAAATTTGGCCTATGTATTCTGTAACTAAATACATCTTTAATGTCCGTTGAACAAAGAGCGCGTGTGTAGTGCGTTATTTGTGTCAAGATGCCCTCGCAATTATCGAAATAAACGTGGATTATAAAGCAGACTCTACGTGACTGAACAATGATATTTTATTATTCCATCGTTTTCGGTGAGTCCACATTTATTTTAATGTTTGTAAGAAATATTCTTGTCTCAAAGTTTCGGGATCTTTCAATCAAATATCTAACATAAATAGGATAACCCACTTATTCATAAAAGATAAATCAGTGTTATTGTTTTAACTAAAGTAGTTTCTTTCTCTCCCTGTGATGTAAATCGTGTGAAAACTACAATTAGATTTTTTTTAATAAGGAACAAGGATTCATATAATCATTGTTACTTCATAAGATATACAAGTTAATTTTAAGAATGTGAATGTAATCATGAAATGGGGAATGAGGTTGAAAGTATGTAGAAAACTTTTTTTTTATATAGAACATAATACGCTAATGCAATGCCTGCAAATGGGCAGGATGTTCACCTGATGTTAAGTGATACCACCGCCTATGGACACTCAATGCCAGAAGGCTCGCGAGTGCGTTACCGGCCTTTTAAATATTGGTGAGCTCTTTTCATGAAGGACCCTACGTTGAATTGGTTCGGAAATACTACTACATGTTATTCATTTTCATAAATATAGATTTAAATACTAAGTTACCGTAGTAAATATAAAATTCCCTATTCAGAATAGAAATTGTCCTTAAGTTATAACATCTGAAATGTAATTCGTATTCGTACGCTCTTTTCTTGAAGGACCCTAAGTCGAATTGGTTTGGAAATACTTCAGTGGGCAGCTGGTTCCACATAGTTAGCTGGTGGTGGGCGGCAAAAACTGCCTTAGAACTATTTATTATTCCGTATATTTTTACCAAGTTTTGGTTTTGTTAATAAGCGTTTAGAAAATTCAAGAGGAATCGTTTTTTTAAAAAGACTGTAAGCATTCTTTGATATATTCATCAAATAGTAATATTGAAAAAGAGTAAATAACCCGCTTCGGCCAAATTAACGTGGGGCCACAGTTAAATATTATATCTAATATGTCCCATTATTATTTTCAGCATTAGCAATTACTCTGTCAAAATGTGAGCCAGGGTCATGTCCGCCGACACTCTCAGTGGATATTTGTGAAGCCCAATGTGGTCCTACGGTGGCCTGCAACACCACCCAGCTTTGTTGCCCTACAGCATGTGGTGGTGCAATGTGTGTGGATGCTATGACGCAGAGGCATTTTGTTACACTAGGTGAGGAGTATTTTTGTTTTAATTATTATATACCTATACTTCCAGTTATGAATGTGATAGTATCGGATTGTTATATTAATGTAACCTTTTAGGATTCCTCAGATTTCGGAATTTGTTTCATGACATTTTGCCTTATAGGTTATCAGCCTCCTGTGCCTAACACACGACGTCGACTTTTCGGGTCCAAGGCAAGCCAGTTTTATCACGATGTTTTCTTTTACCGTTTGAGCGAATGTTAAAAAGTATAAAAAAATAAATTATGAACCTACACCTAGATGAGAGTCGCTGCTTGCTGTTATAATATTAGTTAAGAAAATATATATTAAAGTATTTTTTTTTTTCACTTATTTTACAAATAAATAATATAAAGTCAAAGTCAAATCGTTTATTTCAATAGACCATCAAAAGGGCACTTGAAGGTCAAGAGAAAAAAATAAAAGGCTCTAGTTGCCTTTCAAAAGGCAGTTCGTGTGAGAATCATGCAAACAACACTTATTTTAAAAAGTACAAATGCAAATTAATTAGAAGTACCTGAATCTACTACTAGTCCCAGGCCCATTTACAAATATCAACC